GGGTAGGAGGTACTGTCTCCATGATGTGCCTGTGCTGACATACAGACTCCAGCCATTGTAGATTCTTAATATGGACTGCTCTTAGATGTGCAGTGTAACACAAATCTGATCCCTTTTCTATCACATGGGATTGCTTTCAGTAGGTATCAACCTTGTTTGTATGTTGTGTGAATTGCCTGAATTGCCTGTACAAACTGATTCTGTACAACAGAAGTTCTACTGTGTTTGTCCACAAGCAAAGTTGTATAGAGTTGCACACTATAGTGTAAATGGGAATGGTGAAGGGATGGGTCCAAACAGAAATAGGAGCAAATGTCCTATTTGACACTCACATGTCTTCAAAAATATTAAGGATCAACAAATGTCTTCAGCAGAAAAAGTAACCCCCCATTTTTCAGTTTTCAGTGGATTTTCCCAAGAAGTCTAGGATAGCAGAAAATGGAATAAGCTTCTTTTAATCTACCCAACAGATTCTGCATTAATTTTGAAGTATATTTCACACTATGATGTTAAGCTGTCCTTATTGTACTAGTGTAAGATAAATTTTCAGGTGTTGCAGTGGTGGTTTGCATTCAGAACTGGGCATCTGCTTTTATAGATGATCTAGAAATAAGATGCAAAATATTTCTGACAAGCCAATTAAAACCCCAATTTCCCTTGTTTAATAATGTCTGGTGTCTGGCAGCTAAACTGGATCTCTTAATAAATATGAGTGCTGGCTATTGCAGCACTGGCTAGGAACCAAAATAAGCCCATCTGTCAAATGCATTATGCTCTGCATGTATACCTTTTCAGAAACTTGCTAGCACTCTCTCTCTCTCTCTCTCTCTCTCTCTCTCTCTCTCTCTCTCTCTCTCTCTCAATGCCACACACTTTGCATGTTTTCACTTTTCCTCCTAATCAGTATGGCTAGTGGATAAAATGTTGGCCCTAGGGCTTTGTAACTCTTAGTACTGATTTCCCAGGATTAAGCAAAACAAACAACCCCCCCCACTACATAAAGCTTCTGTTCCCCATTTCAGAAACTGCTAGAGAAGGGGTCCCCAATGTGATGCCCATGGGTAACACAGCGCCTGCTGACGCCTGTCCTGGCATCTGCCAGGTGATTTCGGAAAGGGGGGCAGGTGGGGTTCCTCCCCAGCAGGGCTTCTGATTGGCCATTGGATAGCTCACTGGTTGTTTCAGCAGCAACTACTACTGCAGTGTTGGTTTTATTCTCATTCATACTTCTTTTTCCCAGTGTATTTTTAAAAATTAATTCTCTTGTCTCCTGTATTTGGGCTTTCTCTCTGTGTGTGGCTCCACTCCTGCAGTGTGGCTCAAAAATGATGGTCACAGTCACAGAACAGACCGCAAAAAGAAGAAACGGTGAGGTAACTGCGCTAGAAAATATTTCAATAAACAATCACAAAATATATACAAAAATGTGTACAAAAATCATATAAATGCACAAGGCAGTTGAAAATGGTATGACGATGGTCTCCGGAATGTTCTATTGTTTCGATACTATTCTTCTTCCAAAAGTGGATGAAAGCCTTAATAAATCATATGCAATAATAATATTATGTGAAGAATCTATGGTACATGTTCATGAAAGAATTCAATAAAAAGTTTTTTTCAAACCTTACATACAGCGACTCTTGGTCTGTCATTTCAACAATCATCATAATTTAGCCACAATTAATTTATACAACCTTGGTGGTTGGCAAACATGCATTGTAATTTTTGCAAGCAACCTTATACTGTATTCTTATAAATTGGCAACCTTCCATTATAATGAATTAGGGAAAGTCTTTGCAGCATTAGTACTGGTATTGGGATGAGTCAGCATAAAGGTTTTGTGAGAACATGTACGTAGTAAGGCATTATACAAGCACCTTGCCCTAGGAACATTCTTTCAGAGAATTTCTTGCAACTAAGTTATGGTGAGTATATGCCTTCAAAAGTTGTAAAGTTGTATAAATTAATTGTGGCTAAATTATGATGATGTGTTACATTTTATTGTTACATTTTGTAGAGACATCGGTGAATAATAATGAAATTTTTGATACCTACTTGTTGAAATGACAGACCAAGAGTCGCTGTATGTAAGGTTTGAAAAAAACTTTTTATTGAATTCTTTCATGTACATGTACCATAGATTCTTCACATAATATTATTATTGCATATGATTTATTAAGGCTTTCATCCACTTTTGGAAGAAGAATACTATCGAAACGTTAGAACATTCCGGAAACCATTGTCACACCATTTTCAACTGCCTTGTGCATTTATATGATTTTTGTACACATTTTTGTATATATTTGTGATTGTTTATTGAAATATTTTCTAGCGCAGTTACCTCACAGTTTCTTCTTTTTGCGGTCTCCACTCCTGCAGTGGCCATTTTGTGGTCACGCCCACTATTTGGTGTCAGAATTCCAAAGGTGCCCACAGGCTCAAAAATGTTGGGGACCCCTGTGCTAGAGTGACCAGGCTCACAAGACTGTAGCAAGTATGGCTAATAAACATGGCTATTCGCTCTGAGACTCTTTGAACAGGGCCAGACTCTAATAACAATCATGAAGGAGACTGTTATTTTACAACCTTTCACAAAGTCTGTATTCCAGTTTGTTACAGTGCTCAGATTTGTATACTTGTAAATGACTGAGTCTTCATCCAAGGGTTGGTTTATGGTGGTTGTTGAAAAGGTGGGCACGTGCAGCTGAAATAAGTGAGCCTCATTATTAAAGGAGAAAGGAAGAAACGCTCTGGTGGAATTAAGGCTGACGAGGCAAAAGGATCCACAGCCCTAGAAACAATATGAGGTATTAATCATGTGCTAAAACACTAATTGCCATCTCCTCTTCCTATGCATTGCCTGACAACCAATGCAACAAAAAGAAAATAATAATCGTTTTAAGAAGCCATTGTCTTTGGGAAGATCTATGTATTTGCCTACTATTATATCAGCGGCAGCAGTAAAAAGCGAAGTGTCTGGGGTTAGTGGCAAAGTTGGTGTTCAGGTCCTTTCTAAAAGCAGAGCATGTAATGATTGTATTTTAGCAATAGCTTTGTTTTAGGAGGTAGCCATTGCTTTCCCACCTCTTTAAAAATATCTGACCAAATAGAGGATTCTGTGATGGATTATATGAAAGAGAATGAGCATTGTCTGAAGAATGTTATTTTTTCTAAAAAATAAAACACAAGCAAGACATTTACACACACGCACATATTTTCGGTGGAGGTGAGTTCCACAGCAGATGAGAGATAAATGCTGTATGTTGCATACTGGTTGGTAGATTCCTGTGCCACTCTCCATGATCTCTTTCCATGTAGCAGTCATAATCGCAATAAATATACTGTCTGAAGGAACTCCTACACTTTCTCAGTGTTGTTCCCTGAGTGTTTGATCAATGCACTAAGAAACTTCAAGGGATGTAGTGTATATTGTGTGTGCAGTGGAACAGACAAATGCACGTGTAAAAAATGACCCCATGGGCAGGCCCAAATATTTCTGCATCCTGAACAATATACTTCCCATCTTGATTGGAATCCCCCCTACTTCACTCCTGTGCTGCTGCTCCCACTGCAATCTAGGCAGGGCTGTAGCCAGAGAGGTGCTAGCGGATGCATCACTGCATCTGGAGCACTATCTAATTTTCTGTTCGTTAAAAACAGACTTTTAAAATCAATTAACTAGGTATTTCTGCCCTGCTTTTTCTTCCCAATGGGGACCCAAAGCAGTTTACATCATTCTTTTCTTCTCTGTTTTATCCTCACATGACTGTGAGGTTGGTTAGGCTAAGAGAGAGTGACTGGCCAAATGTTTCCTAGCCGCAGAGTGGGGATTCGACCCCTGGGTCTCCCAGATCTTAGTCTAGCCACTACACCACACTGTCTCTCTAAAACGGCAAGTGATTAATTCTTCATACATATACAGTTTTCCAAGTAAAACATTTCATCTGCTTATTATACTATTATTTCCTTCCCTGTTCAAAGAATAGGAGCTTGTTCTTTGAACAGGAATGTTTAAAAATGGTGGTTGGTGTTCTGGAAAAGTAGTTCTCCTCCAACTGCTACCCATCTCATGTATTTTTCCATGTCACTACCGTTTTTATCATGTTTAAGTCATCCTGAAAGGGAAAGAAAAAGCTTCTATAGCTGTGAGTACAGCAAAATATTTAAAGGAGTCCATTTGGTAACTTATAGGAGTTGTTTTTTATTTAATGGTTTACTAGTGGGCAAAATCTTTTTAATTTGGAAAGAACTGTTCTTATTTGATGTATGTGATTTTGATGGTAATAATTCATGGCTGCTAAGGTATTCTCATGGGCAACAAGGTTATAGAAGTTTATGCTACATGAGCAATACTCCCTCTAAAGCTGTGGAGTCTTGTGAGCAAAAATTCTACTTTGTGAGCTACTGGCATTAAAGTTGTGAGCCAGCAATTTGGTTACTGCATAAATTAGTTTGCTCTGGAGCCATCCTTCCTGAGCTAAGACAAAAATGTGTGAGCTGGAGGCTAAAAAACTGTGAGCTAGCTCACACTTAGAGGGAACATTGCTTATGAGGCAAGCACTGGGTCCCCCCCCCCCCAATTTGTTTGTTCAAAAAGTGGTAGTGCTACTAGTAAGCCAGGTGGCTTTGGATCCATCTTAAATTCAGTAGACTTGCATTTACTAGAAAGCCGGTTTGGTTTAGTGGTTAGGAGTGCTGACTCTAATCTGGGAGAACCAAGTTTTATTCCCCAGTCCTCCACATGCAGCTTCTGGTGTGACCTTGGGTCAGTAACAAGTTATTTCAGAGCTGTTCTCTCACGAGTTCTCAAAAGAGTTCTCTCAGCCCCACCTACCCCTCAGGGATATCTGTTGTGGGGAGGGGAAGGGAAAGGAGATTGTAAACCACTCTGAGACTCCTTCAGGTAGTGAAGGGTGGGTTATAACTCCAATCTCCTCCTCCTCCTCCTGCTGAGCCAATTTGTTATGTCTGAGTGAAAAGGATAAACATGTTTCAGTAGTATGTTGGAGCTAGCTGCTGTGGGTAATGCAAAGAACTCCCTTTTTACCAGTTGCATTCTCAGCTATTTTCTCTGGTCTGTGCTTGAATATAATCCTGTGTGCTAATAAAATGTCAATTGTCTTAATATAAATACAGCCTTACAAATAAAGCCTCTTCCTCTTCTAACTTTCTAGGACTGAGCAATCGATTGCCGTACTTCATAAATTATTTCTTTGACACATACCTGTTGATCAATGAAGATACTCCAGTGGGTAAGTACATTGAGCTAGCGTTTAATGAGTAAAATGGCACTTTTGCATCTAGCTGTCATTGGGGAGATGGAGAGCCAGAATTGCAATTCAGCAAGCTAATTTTAAAGGAGCTGCTTATAAAAGGGAAACGGGTTTCGTCCAAGAACGTTAAAATTTTCACTGTCTTCGGTTACTTGTGGAAGGCTGATAAATACGTTCTGTTGATGAGGCTGTCTGTTTCAGGTTAAGATCTGATTAAAGGGGAATAATTGGATGCCCTTTGAACAGGGCAGTAATATTCTATTAAAATTAATCCCATGTTTTACAAATTGTGGAAGCTTTCTGGCAGAAATGAGTAGTGCTTACAACTACTCTGCCTGGCCTGATGCCCTTTTACTAATCATTGCAGGAAGCTGGTATCTGTTTTTTTGTGTACTATCTCAAAAACCTGCTTAAAAACATTGGCGAGGGGGAGCCTGTTACATAATTGGATATTACTTTAATAATATTATTAAAACGGGAGAAAAACTCATCTCCTGTTTTAATCTTTATTCTTAAAATGGGGGGAAGCTCCCTTACTGCTCTATCCAAGTTGCCTCTCTGCAAGAGAGAATGGGAAGGTATATATTTTAAAGGTTTATATCCTGCTTTTTGATTGATCTTCAAGATAGGTAAAGGTAAAGGTTCCCTTGCTCGAAAGCCAGTCGAGTCCGAATCTAGGGTTGCGGTGCTCATCTCCGTTTCAAAGCCGAAGAGCCAGCGCTGTCCGAAGATGTTTCCATGGTCATGTGGCCGGCATGACTAAACACCAAGGCACACGGAACGCCGTTACCTTCCCACCGAAGTGTTACCTATTTATCTACTTGCAATGTCTTGCTTTCGAACTGCTAGGTTGGCAGGAGCTGGAACTAGAGATGGGAGCTCACTCCGTCATGTGGCAACTCGGTTCTCGAACTGCTGAACTACTGACCTTCCACAGCCTGCAGTTCAGTGTCTTAACCACTTGAGCCACCGCAGCTCCTTTGATCTTCAAGATAGCTTACCATATATTAAAACAAAGTACAGCTTCAGATGTAACTTCAGTCCTGACTCATTGTAAGGTGAAGGAATGGCAAAGGGAGGCAGAGGAATATGATGCTAAAGTTGCTCCCCAGCTCTTTTGGTATTCCTGCTTCTTCCAAGAGTCACTGTGGGGGCTAGGGGAATAGTCCCTCCAGAAAAATTGCTGCTGTTGAGCTGCCAAGTGGCACCAGTTCTAATTCTGTAGTGGGTGTAGTGGGCTTCTTGCCTAAGCCAGATAGAATGTGGCTTCTGTCTTCTTCCAAGCTTTTCTCTGCAGCCATGAGAGTTAGAGAAAGAGAAGCTTCACTTCAGCTTCATGCAGCTATCACAAACAGGGTTGCCAACTCCAAGGTGGGGCCTGGGGAATCTCCCGGAAATCCAACTGATCTCCAGAAGACAAAGATCCGTTCCCCTGGAGAAAATGGCTGCTCTGTAGGGCAAACTCTCTGCTAAGGTCCCTCTCCTCCTTGAACCCCACCCTCCCCAGGTTCCACCCCCAAATCTCCAGGAATTTCCCAACCCCAAGCTGGTGACCCTAATCACAAAGGGAAAAAAAAGAATAATACAAAAAGCATGCTTCTGTAAGATTTAGTGATGAATCCACATCTGGATAACTGTTCAGGGTGCTGTTAAAAGGGAAGATAGCTCAGTGGCCATGCATATGCTTTGAATGTTGATAGTCCCAGGTTAAATCCTTGGCATCTCCAGTTAAATGGATCTCAAACAGCACATGCTGGGAAATTCCATTGTCTGACTGAAATTTTTAAAAACTGTTGTTGGACAGAATATACTAAGTGAGATGGACTGGTGGTATGATTTGGTATATGGCATCTTCATATGTTCATATACGAGGTACTCCATCTCTGAAGGGATGGAGTATGAGTAGAAAAGAAGAATGAGTAATCCATGGGGGAAAATATATCCATGGGGGGTAATTTTGAGAAGGACTTTAGGACTCTGGGAAGGAAAAAGCAGGTTGGGGGGGAAGTATGGAGAAAGTAGATTATCCAAAACATTTATATGCTGCCTCTTCAGAAACCCGCTTGAGGTGGCTCACAAAATAAAACTAGGTAAAATTATAAAAACATACAGTCCTTAATATTAAGAAAAATTAAAAATTAAAAAAAACCCAGAAGCATAACAGCACACAAGAACCAAAAGCATCAAAGCCTCTAAGATGTACTCCCTGAATTTCTGTTGAACTCATATGGTTCTTGCTGGAATTGCAATGATACATGGTAAACTTTTTAAAGTTTATAAAAAGTTTACATGGCTTTTAATGTCACAGCGGAGCTGTGTTACTCCTTGGCATAGGATGTGGTGTAACAGCCAGCATAACTACGGCCCAATTTTACAGAGTAAAATGTAACTAAGATGGCGGGCAGCTTCCAGTTTGCGTTCTCCCCAAACCTGAAAACTGTCCCCAAATCATGATATGATCTTATATTGTAGTATCTTGAATCCATCCCTGAGTTCAAGGGATTGTGTCTCGATTCTACTAAAATAAGCACCTTTTTCTTCATCTTTTATGAGCTGCAGGTCGGCAGCTGGGCAGCAACAGTACTGTGAGCTGGAAATGAAAGTGACATTGTCCCTGTATTAATGCTAGCCCTGCCCCATATGCACTCACCAGGTGCTCATAATCCAGGTTTGGGTGTGAAGGGTGGGCTCTTGTGAGGGCAGTGTAATCCTCAATTTAGGCATCCATGTTGAGATTCTTGTTGCATATTAGCAACAGTCTCTTCTAGTTTGTGCTTTTGCTACAACTCACAATACCAGTATTGTGCCTTTTCCCAAAAAACATATAAGTTCATTGTCGCGGTACCTTTGCAATATCACATGTGTGTTTTGGGTTTGTGCAAGCCTACCATGGAGAGGTTTTAGAAGCTCTAAAGAAGCAGAAGGTGCTCTTTCCCCCTCCCTCACACTGCCTTTTCACCTTCCTCCAGTGTGAAAAGGTGGAGGAGTGCCCTTTCCTCAATTCTCTTTCTACAAACATTTTTGAGTCATATTTGATGGCCATTGGCCCCCTTTCTTTATTCTTCTTCTTAATTATCTCCTCCAACAAGAGGAAAATGTTCTCCTCATATGCATCAGCACCCTCTTCATTGTGCTGCCCCAAACAGTTGCTTGGGTGGCTTGGTTGGAGAACCAGCTTAGAGAGGGGCGTCTTCATTCATTGGTTTCTGGAGTTTGGTTCTGGAGGGGGCCCTATACAACTCAAGGATATTTAAATTTGGGGGGCTAGTGGTAGGACTAGTACTTTATAATTCTTCTACAAAGGGCTTTGGAGCCAAGATGGGGTATGTGTGCACTCTATGAAGCCTCAGGATAGAAACGGGGTGCAGGACTCTCTGAGCTGTTTGTGAAACTGGGGTAATATGAAATGTAGAACAAGCCCTTTAAATAAAACTGAAGCCATCCCTCCCAATTTATGAACTTTTCCATGGAGAAAGGCAAGGGATCTATTCTTTCTGTACACCCCCCCCCCGTGAAGCTGGATTGCACCAAATGCAGCTCTCCAAAGGCACAGAGCTTTTTTGCAGATAAAGTCTTGTCGCTTCACTGCAACCTGCCTGCCACTATTGATACAGTAAGGGAACTTGAGGCCTCTTGGCTGTCTTTGGATTCAGTGTTTGACAACTTCAGCCGAATCTCTCAGGCTGATGTCGACAGGATTCTGGGTGATGTTAGACCGACCATGTACCCCTTAGACCTAGGTCCATTTTGGCTGGTGAAGGCCAGTGGTGATGGTATATAGGGGGCCCTGAGGGACAGAAAAAGAGGTGGCTCAACCTGCTATGCATTTAAAAATTAAATTAAAACACCGCAAGTCAAAACTAATTTAAAAATAGATGGGGCAGGAAAGGGATTGTGCTACACCACAAAACTCATGACCACATGCCAGTGCAATCATAGAATAATAATAAAAGTGCTTGAGGAACCAGCAGTGTGGGAGAGGGGTGCTCAAAGTTGGGAATCCCCCACCCTCACTGGGATAGGGTTGCCAACCTCCAGGAGCTGGAGCTCTCCTGGGATTACAACCAGAGGTCATTTTGGGGGGGATCGCGGGGGATCGCAGTTCTCCCGAGTTAGGTACGGGGGGCAGGGCACATAACGAAGCCCTGCCCCCTGCTTCCGGCCGCCCTGCTTCCGGCCCTCATTCAGCCAGGAGGAGGCAGGAGAAGAGGGGAGGGTAAGTTGCTTCCTCCCTGCCTCTCCCCACCCCTGCCTGCCTGGGGCCGAGGAGGGCCTTCGCGGGGCTTCCTTGCACTCCCGCCGGCCTTGCGGGTCCATCGCCGGGCCCCTCATGGGGCTCGGCAGTGGAGCTGCAAGGCCAGCGGCGGTGGCCAGGAATGTTGGGGGCGGGGTGTGTGGCCTTATGACACACTTCCGGTGATGTCAGGGGGTGTGGCATATGCTAATGAGTTATGCTAATGAGTTCCCCTAGCTCTTTTTCTACTAAACGACCCCTGATTACAACTCATCTCCAGGCAACAACGATCAGTTCACCTGGAGAAAATGGCAGCTTTGGAAGATGGACTCTACGGCATTATATTCCTTTGGAGTCCCTCCCCAAACCCCACCCCCTTCAGGCTCCACCCAACAAATCTCCAGGTATTTCCCAACCAGAGCTGTCATCCCTACTGGGGGGAGGGGCTAGCAACCCTATGAACACCCTGTCTGAGCCCAACTCCTCACCAGATTCTGACTCCAGAGAGCTCTTTGTTAGTTCCAACAATTCTGAGACTTATTCCGACGTCTTCAGGTCTATCCTCAGCTCCAGCCAACACCATGCCTTCATCAGCCGCTTGGCAGCCATGGTGCCTCAGAACCACCTCCTAATAAAGGGCGCCATAAACCCAAGCTTCATGAAAACGCAGACACTTCAAACCTGGTTAAGCTATCAATGGTTCCGATCTGTCTCAACTTTCAGACATGGTTCTTGACTGGACCTC